TTGTGGGTTGTTTTTTTTTTTTTTTTGAGATGGAGTCTCGCTGTCGTCCAGGCTGGAGTGCAGTGGCGCGATCTTGGCTCACTGCAAGCTCTGCCTCCCGGGTTCACCCCATTCTCCTGCCTCAGCCTCCTGAGTAGCTGGGACTGCAGGTGACCACCACCACACCCAACTAATTTTTTGTATATTTAGTAGAGACAGGGTTTCACCGTGTTGGCCAGGATGGTTTCGATCTCCTGACCTCGTGATCCGTCCACCTCGGCCTCCCAAAGTGCTGGGATTACAGGCGTGAGCCATCGCACCCAGCCCACCCTCAGAATTCTTTATCTTCTCTCTCATTTACTCTCTAGAGATACCACCCAGTCTTATCGATTTAATTATCAATAAGTCAATGATTCCCAAATTTTCATCTCTAGCTCCTTCCTCTCTGACTCCAGACTCATATCTGACTTCCCTCTCAATATTTACGCTTGGAGAGCTGATGGGCATCACACTGTTAGCATATCCCAAACCAATCTCTTGCTTCCCAAACCCATGACCCTTGAATCTACCCCCTCCCTACGGTCCCCATCTGGCCCATTTACCCACTTGTTTGGATGACAGATGACTCCTTTTATTTCCTTGTGAGGCACATCCAAACCATCAGTAAATCCTGTCCACACTACTGTCCAGGTATTTCCTGAATTCCATCACTTGTCACCACCTCCACCACTAAGTGCTCTAGATCAAGTCACCGTCACCTTCACCTGGACATTCCAGCAGCCTCCAACCTGGGTTTTGGCTGTACCCACCCCACCTAGAGTGTGTTCTTCCCACAGCAGCCAGACTGAGCTCGTGTTCTATTGGGGAAGCAGACATAAATACAAGGAGTAAAATACATAGTCTGTTAAAGAGTTATTAAGTGTGACTGACAAGACTAGGCAGAGGGGCTGGGCACGGTGGCCCACACCTGTAATCCTGACACTTTGAGAGGCCAAGGTGGGCAGATCACTTGAGGTCAGGAGTTCAAGACCAGCCTGGTCAACATGGTGAAACCCCGTCCCTACTAAAAACACAAAAATTAGCCAGGCATGGTGTCGTGCACCTGTAATCTCAGCTACTCCGGCTGAGGCAGGAAAATCGCTTGAACCCAGGAGAGCAGAGGTTGTAGTGAGCCAAGATCGCGCCACTGTACTCCAGCCTGGGCGACAAGAGTAAAACTCTGTCTCAAAAAAACAAAACAAAAGGCTGGGCGCGGTGGCTCAAGCCTGTAATCCCAGCACTTTGGGAGGCCGAGACGGGTGGATCATGAGGTCAGGAGATCGAGACCATCCTGGCTAACACGGTGAAACCCCGTCTCTACTAAAAAATACAAAAAAACTAGCCGGGCA